TATACCTATAGGTATATATTTTCAATTATTTTTTAATTGTGTACAATTTTTTCACGTTCGGTAAATTTGTTTTAATTGCTTTTGTAAATTGAATAGGAATTTTAGAATCGCGTGATTTAAAATTGATAAATGCGATCAATTTGAAGAGATAGTGTTATCACGGAAAATTGCACATTTAGATCGAAGACCATCACACTGTGCTGATTAAATGAGAGTATATATGTGGATGTGTCAGGATTCGCTATGACCCTAATCCACACTTATGAGTCTGCTTGTCATTATTGTGTTTCACGTCTCTTTCACTTTTCAAAAACCGCAATTTATTTTTAGCTCACTTTTAACGTAATTATAGATCCGAAATGTACATCAATTTATTACCATAACGTATTTTTTTTTCGCGTCACTTTTTTTTATCGTAAATTATCATTTATTTGCATTATCATCATTAATTATAATTAAAAAATAGTCAATATTTTTATTTATTTATTTATTTAAACACTAACATTTTTTTTGCCTAAATATTTTTTATATGAAGAGAGAAACTTTTTATTTCAATAGTTTATTTATTTATTCAGACAAATTTAAGAATTTTGTTTTCTTAAATTTAAAAATAAAAAATATTTAGAAATAAAAAAATAAAAAATGTACGAAAATAGGGCTCTTTTTGACACCTCCGTATATGTTACGAAAGAAAGAAATAAATAGAAATTGAAAAGAAAACAGAAAAATAAAAAAAAATAAATAAAACGAAATCAAAAAATATTAAGAAATAAAAAATAAAACTAAATAAAAAGTAAAAAGGGTTACGAATAAAGGGCTCTTATTAAAGTCCATTTATATTACGAAGTAAATATATATATATATAAATTAAAAGAAAACAGAAAAAGAAAAAGAAAAAAAAAGAAATACAATAAAATACTAAAAAATAAAACTAAATAAAAAAATAAATAGAAGTAAAAAATAAAAAGGGTTCGAATAAAGATCTGTTTTTGTCGCCCGTGTATGTTACGAAATAAATAAATAAATAAAAATACAATCGAAATAAAGAAAATAAAAATAAGTAAAAAAATAAAATAAATAAATAAAACCAAATAAAATCAAAAGAAATCCAATTTAAAAAATTAAAAATACAGAAAAAATTAAAAACATACAGAAAAAAATTAAAAATTTAGAAAGAAATTAAAAATACAGAAAAAAATTAAAAATACAGAAAGAAATTAAAAATACAGAAGAAAATTTAAAATACAGAAAGAAATTAAAAATACAGAAAGAAATTAAAAATACAGAAAAAAAATATTAAGAAACAAAGAAAAAGTGGAAAAATTTATAGAACAAATAATGCTGAGTTTTCTTTTCACCCAAAAAAATACATGTGTTTATCTTTATAACTCTCCTTTTCGAAAGCATTTTTACTTTAGCACAAAAAAAGAAGGAGGAAAAAAAAGTAACGTAGCATTTTTCTTGGTGGGTCTAAAGAAATAAATTTGCATGATGATATATTTTTTGCATATCCTTAACGCGCATCTGTGACGAGAGAAACGCTGAGGAAAGAATAAATGATACTTTTTCAGGAATAATTTAGAAATTGTTTTTAAAAAAAAATTTTTTTTTTATATTAATCTTTCTAAATAACAATAAATAAATAAATTTCTATAAACAATTATAGTTTATACTATTTGTTCATAAGAAAAAAAATATATACGTACAAATGCTTCTTAAACGAAAAAGATTTTTTTGACAAAGAGAAATTCCCCTTGGGTCAATACCTACCTATATTAGAAATAAGTTTCACACTCGCACACAAAGAAAGTGGGGGAAAAAAAAACTTCTGAAAGTGGTCTTAAATAGATTTTCAGTTACCCTACAATTGTGACAAGAATAAAAGTCGAATATTATATAGGGGAACATCATTTCGAACAAATCCATTTGGAAATAAAGTTTATTGAAGGCACATTAAGAATATTTAAAAGAAAAACATTAGGTTTATTTGACTGGAAAATCTATATTTAATATTATGTATTTTAATAAAATTTATCAAATGTACAAAATATGTATAAAATGAAATTTATTTAATAACAAAAATAAAAAGTTATGTATTTTAAATTTAAATGTTATGTATTAAAATATTTTTCCAAATTTATACAGAAATTGCGAAAAAAACGTTTTCAATTTAAAAGAAAATGAATGTCTGACTAAAAATCGCTTTTACTACTTGTAAACCGATTATTGGAATTCTTTTCATTAGTTTAGAAAACTAATTGAAAAGAGTATAAAAATTACTAATGCCATTTTTTTAGTAATTTGTAGTTTTCTGATAATAAAAAAAATTTTGTAACAAAAATATAAAATTCAGACTGCAATTATTCTGTATAAAAAGGCAAGAAAAAATTGTCTGACCATAAACTACTTTTACTACTGAAAAATATTTTTTTAATTTCCTCTAACAATGGATTTAAAATAATAAATTCTCTTATAAAATACTATGTATGAGGAAGAATAAATTTGTCGAATATAGTTATCAAAAAGAAAGAAATTTAAAAATATACTTGTCTGGCTAAAAACTTACTTTTACTACTAATTACTATTTTGCACTTTTTCCAGTAGTAGTTTTCTGATAAAGAAAAAAATTGGGTACAAAAATATAGAAATAAGACTAATACAATGCGTTTAAAATAAAAAATTCGCTGTAAAATACTATAAGAAAAAAATTAATTTTCTATAGTGAAAAATAAAGAAAAATGAAAGAAACAACATGTCTGACTGAAAACTTACTTTACTACTAAAATATAAAGTCTTTATTATTTATAAAACCAATTTTTTAACTTCCTGTCATTTGTAGAATAATATAATTAGATTCAATAGGAATTTATAAGTACTAGACATTTTTTCAGTTGAAGCGAGAAAAAACTTTGTCTGACAATAAACCACTTTTACTACTTATTTTTTTCTAATTTCTCTATTATTATAGAATTTACTTTTACCACTAATACAAATATTGAAAATATTTCAAACACTGACAAACATTCTACTACTTTCAGAACCGATTATTATAGAATTATTTTCATTATTAAAAAAATAATTGCAATGTACAAAAATAAAAGCAAATTTTTTTGACGAAAAGTAGAGGAAAAAACTGTCTGACCACAAAATACTTTTACTCCTAATTTTTTAATTAAATTTCTAAGTAAATTTTTTTAGAAATTTAATTGTTTTAACTATTCAAAATAATAAATTTCCCTATTAAATAAATAAATAAATTCGCCTCAATTTTGTTGACAAAAAAGAAAATACTGTCTGACCATAAAATACTTTTACTACTGATTTTTTTTTACATATTCAATTACTTTAGCTATTCAAAATAATAAATTCGCCTATTAAAATTACTCTTAAGAAAAAAATTAAGTTTTAAAGAAAAAAGTAGAAAAAGAAATAAGAAAAAAGGCTTGTCTGACTAAAAACTCACTTCTACTACTAATGAAAATATAGCAAATGTTCATTAGATAATAAAATCAATTATTGCAATTTTTTTCATCAGTAGAATAACAATTGGATTATTCAAAAATATAATATGTTTATTCCACTTTTCTTGTAGAGAGAAAAAAACTTTGTCCGACCGTAAACCGACTTTTACTACAACTGAGATTTCTTTTTAAAAACTTCTCTTGAATAATGCACTTAAATATAATAAATTACCCTGTAAAATACTCTTTGAGAAAAATTAATTCTTTCATAGTGATAAAGTTCTAAGTAAGAACTGTGAAAATAACAGATTTGTCTGACTAAACATTTATTTTTACTACTAACATTGAATTAGTATTCAATGTTAATTAGTATTCAATATTAACATTGGAATTACAAATAAAATTCGAATTATCCAGTTTTACATATAAATTTTATAAAGTCTGCCTGACTAAAACTGCATGTTACTACTGATTAAAATTGGAACAATTCTGAAGTGTATCATGTCTGACTAAAACAGACGTTTACTACTGATTTACAACTAATTTTAATTATTACCTAAAGTTTGTTAATTTTTACTCTACCAAAAAATATTTCTTTCAGTTTTTCTTTCTAAATATATAATTCATGAAAGAAATTTTCAAAAGTTAGCATTTTGAGAAGAAACTATTTTCAGTATAGTGAAGAAAATAGAAAAAAAAAATTCTATTCTATAAAAACTGTTCTCTTATACTTAGAAAAATTGAACATTACAAAAAGTTACTTCTGACGTAAAATTCGATTTTTTTCTATTAATAAAAGTCCTACGTTTTCTTTTAGAAAATTTCCACCTTAAAATGTTTATTTAAAAAAAAAAATTTTTTTTGTCTGACAAAAACCGATTATTACTACTGAAATTTCAGACATAAATTGATTTTTTCACGTCTAATAAAAATCAAAAGGATTTTTTAAAAATAATGGTTGTCTCACTGAAAGTTGCTTATTCTACTGATTCGATAATAACACAAGGACAAAAATTGCGTCTGACGTTAACTGGTCTTTACTACTTATAAACAAAATAAATTCATAACGAAGTATTTTCCTAAAGTTTTGAACAATCAAAACGGTTCAGTGTTTCAAGTGGAAAAAATTTTTTCTGGCATTTTAAATATTTTCGAAAATTATCATAAATTTATAAAATTATTTTCTTACTAATTTTAATTTATAATTTTAATTAATAATATTGTGACTTATAGTTAAGAATTATTTTTTTAACAAACAAAATAATATTTTAAATAAATAGATTCAGAGTTAATATAAAGTATTTGTCTGACTAAAACTGAGGTTTACTACTGACTTGCCAAATTGTATGAAACAAACTGACATTTTCTACTGAGAAAAATTCAAAGTTATTTTGAAAAATTTTCATCTGAAAAAAACTATTTACGAAATAGGTAATGAAAATGAGAGAAATTAAAAAATAAATTGAGGTTTTTTTTCATTCAAAATGCAAAAAAAATATAATTGAAAAATATTTATAGTAAACAAAAAATTATTTGCAGCCAATGCTTGTGGATATGAAACGAAATACTGCTGGTGACGATGGTGAAGTTGAAGATGGCGTGGAATATTACAGACTTCGCTCGTTTTCCATAACTGCCAACGGAATTTACAATCTCGGTGACTCCCTGAAAAGTCGACGAAGCAGAAGTATCAATAGTGTCACGTCTTCTGGTACCAGCTGCAGTAGTACAAGGGATGCGAGACTTTTAAGGTAATTTTGAATCTAAATGTAAAAATAAAAAATATTGATTAAAAAAAATTATTATTTATTTATTAAAAAATATTGATTTAAATATTAAGTGGAAAATTGTTTAAATTGCTTATAAGAAAATTAAAAAAATTCAAATTATATATTAAAATGAAAATAAATATTATTAATAATATTAATATATAAAAATGAGAATTATAAATATAAATACAAATACCAAAAAAAAATATAAATATCTAAATTAAAAAGCGTACCTAAATATAAAAATAAAAATGACAATATATAAAAATATCGATTACAAGGAAAAAATACACGAATATTATTTCGATTTATAAAAAATTCTTTCTCTGAAATATTCAAAAAGAAAATTATACACTTCTCCAATGAATAAATTTGCAAAATCCGTTCGGAATTATTTAGACAAAACAAAGAAGAAATACAAAATTTCCACTCACAAAAAAAAGAATGCTTATTCCATCAAAAAAATCTCTATATTTAGAAATCGAAATCAGTTTATGAAATAGTCTTCAAAAATAGAAAAAGAAAAATATTTTCTCCAAAATCAAATTTAATCTAATAACTAACAACAATTCGAGCTCTGACGCGCGCAGCTAACTTTTTGCTCAGTTTTTTAAATGAAATTTTAAATAAAATTAGCAATTTTAAAAATAATACAACGTAAAGCTTTGTATTCAAATTTATATTCATAAAAATAAAATATAACTTGGAATAGGGTTTTTATATTATTTTTTCAATTTTTGACAATAATATATCTTTTTAAATAACTTAAATATTGAACAACTGTCATAAAACAATGATTTATAAATTATTATAAATAATTTTACTCAAATATTTCAAAATTAATTCAATTTTAAAAGAGTTCTAATCTTCCAAAATTAGTTATAAATTTATCAATATATAATTAATTAATTATTAAAAATAATGAATTTATAGAAGAATTTTAGTGAAAAACACTAAAAGAATTTTAGTATTTGAAGAATTAGAACTTTTGAAGAATATCTTTGAATTTTTTTTTAAACTAATGGAGTTTCTTTAATAACTAGCCAAACTATCCGCGCGCAAGCGCGCGGGAATGTTGTATGTGGCTGCTTATTTTAAACAATTTAAAAAATTTTAAAGAAATAATTATTATAACCTAACGTTGAGATTTAACTAACTAAAATTCAAATAATTTCACTCAATGGTCTCAATTTAAATAGAATTTACATTACTAGACTTAAACTATGGCTAGAACAAATACAATTAGTATCTGGGTCATCTTTTGCATTGCTTATTTTATAAAGCCATTTTAAATTAAATACTTTTTAAAGAAATAATAATTATTACACACTGAAAAAAGTTTTACTTGAATTTCGCTACTAAAGTGAAATCTGTAGTTCATCCAGCTAAATATTTTTTGCCGTGCATAACGAAAAAAGAATTAAATTAACATCAGATTTTCTACATTCAAAAAAACGAATTCAAATAGAAATTAATCATTTTACAACTTAACCAAATTCACCCCAGAAATCACTGAATTCAATAATTTAGAAGAAAGTCAGACAAAAGCAGGGTTCCTACAGAATCTGGAAATCATGGAAATCATGGAAATGGTAAAAATTCTAAATTTTTTCAGTTTTCCATTTTTTCTCTTGAATAAAAATTCAAATAATAATAAAGCTAAATGGCTAAAAGAGAAGAAAAAATAATGAATTTTAAGAAATTCGATTTTTCGGATTTTTGATAATTTTTAATAATTTTTGATTTTTTACCAAAGAGTCGAGACTATTAAATAAGTAAAGTATTTTCCAAAAGCACAAAAATAATGAAGCTAAATCCCATAAAAGAGAGGAAAAAATGTTGAATTTTAAGAAAATCGGATTTTTGAAATTTTTCGAATTTTTGATAATTTTTGATTTTTTACTAAAGAGTCGAGACAATTTAATAAGTAAAGTATTTTCCAAAAGCACAAAAATAATGAAGCTAATTCCCATAAAAGAGAGGAAAAAATGTTTAATTTTAAGAAAATCGGATTTTTGAATTTTTTCGAATTTTTGATAATTTTTGATTTTTTACCAAAGAGTCGAGACTATTAAATAAGTAAAGTATTTTCCAAAAGCACAAAAATAATGAAGCTAAATCCCAAAAAAAAAGAAGAAAAACTGTTGAATTTTAAGAAATTCGGATTTTTGAATTTTTTCGAATTTTTGATAATTTTAGATTTTTTACTAAAGAATCGAGACAATTTAATAAGTAAAGTATTTTCCAAAAGCACAAAAATAACGAAGCTAAATCCCATAAAAGAGAGGAAAAAATGTTGAATTTTAAGAAAATCGGATTTTTGAATTTTTTCGAATTTTTGATAATTTTTGATTTTTTACCAAAGAGTCGAGACTATTAAATAAGTAAAGTATTTTCCAAAAGCACAAAAATAACGAAGCTAAATCCCATAAAAGAGAGGAAAAAATGTTGAATTTTAAGAAAATCGGATTTTTGAATTTTTTCGAATTTTTGATAATTTTAGATTTTTTTCCAAAGAGTCGAGACAATTTAATAAGTAAAGTATTTTCCAAAGGCACAAAAATAATAAAGCTAAATCCTATAAAAGAGAGGAAAAAATGTTGAATTTTAAGAAATTCGGATTTTGGAATTTTTGATAATTTTCGATAATTTTACATTTTTTACCAAAGAGTCGAGACAATTTAATAAGTAAAGTATTTTCCAAAAGCACAAAAATAATGAAGCTAAATCCTATAAAACAGAGGAAAAAATGTTGAATTTTAAGAAATTCGGATTTTTGAATTTTTTCGAATTTTTGATAATTTTAGATTTTTTTCCAAAGAGTCGAGACAATTTAATAAGTAAAGTATTTTCCAAAAGCACAAAAATAATGAAGCTTAATCCTATAAAAGAGAGGAAAAAATGTTGAATTTTAAGAAAATCGGATTTTTGAATTTTTTCGAATTTTTGATAATTTTTGATTTTTTACCAAAGAGTCGAGACTATTAAATAAGTAAAGTATTTTCCAAAAGCACAAAAATAACGAAGCTCAATCCCATAAAAGAGAGGAAAAAATGTTGAATTTTAAGAAAATCGGATTTTTGAATTTTTTCGAATTTTTGATAATTTTTGATTTTTTACCAAAGAGTCGAGACTATTAAATAAGTAAAGTATTTTCCAAAAGCACAAAAATAACGAAGCTAAATCCCATAAAAGAGAGGAAAAAATGTTGAATTTTAAGAAAATCGGATTTTTGAATTTTTTCGAATTTTTGATAATTTAAGATTTTTTACCAAAGAGTCGAGACTATTAAATAAGTAAAGTATTTTCCAAAAGCACAAAAATAATGAAGCTAAATCCCATAAAAGAGAAGAAAAACTGTTGAATTTTAAGAAATTCGGATTTTTGAATTTTTTCGAATTTTTGATAATTTTAGATTTTTTACTAAAGAGTCGAGACAATTTAATAAGTAAAGTATTTTCCAAAAGCACAAAAATAACGAAGCTAAATCCCATAAAAGAGAGGAAAAAATGTTGAATTTTAAGAAAATCGGATTTTTGAATTTTTTCGAATTTTTGATAATTTTAGATTTTTTTCCAAAGAGTCGAGACAATTTAATAAGTAAAGTATTTTCCAAAAGCACAAAAATAATGAAGCTAATTCCCATAAAAGAGAGGAAAAAATGTTGAATTTTAAGAAAATCGGATTTTTGAATTTTTTCGAATTTTTGATAATTTTTGATTTTTTACCAAAGAGTCGAGACTATTAAATAAGTAAAGTATTTTCCAAAAGCACTAAAATAATGAAGCTAAATCCCATAAAAGGGAAGAAAAAATGTTGAATTTTAAGAAATTCGGATTTTTGAATTTTTTCGAATTTTTGATAATTTTAGATTTTTTACTAAAGAGTCGAGACAATTTAATAAGTAAAGTATTTTCTAAAAGCACAAAAATAACGAAGCTAAATCCCATAAAAGAGAGGAAAAAATGTTGAATTTTAAGAAAATCGGATTTTTGAATTTTTTCGAATTTTTGATAATTTTTGATTTTTTACCAAAGAGTCGAGACAATTTAATAAGTAAAGTATTTTCCAAAAGCACAAAAATAATGAAGCTAATTCCCATAAAAGAGAGGGAAAAATTGTTGAATTTTAAGAAAATCGGATTTTTGAATTTTTTCGAATTTTTGATAATTTTTGATTTTTTACCAAAGAGTCGAGACTATTAAATAAGTAAAGTATTTTCCAAAAGCACAAAAATAACGAAGCTCAATCCCATAAAAGAGAGGAAAAAATGTTGAATTTTAAGAAAATCGGATTTTTGAATTTTTTCGAATTTTTGATAATTTTTGATTTTTTACCAAAGAGTCGAGACTATTAAATAAGTAAAGTATTTTCCAAAAGCACAAAAATAACGAAGCTAAATCCCATAAAAGAGAGGAAAAAATGTTGAATTTTAAGAAAATCGGATTTTTGAATTTTTTCGAATTTTTGATAATTTAAGATTTTTTTCCAAAGAGTCGAGACAATTTAATAAGTAAAGTATTTTCCAAAAGCACAAAAATAATGAAGCTTAATCCTATAAAAGAGAGGAAAAAATGTTGAATTTTAAGAAATTCGGATTTTTGAATTTTTTCGAATTTTTGATAATTTTAGATTTTTTACTAAAGAGTCGAGACAATTTAATAAGTAAAGTATTTTCCAAAAGCACAAAAATAACGAAGCTAAATCCCATAAAAGAGAGGAAAAAATGTTGAATTTTAAGAAAATCGGATTTTTGAATTTTTTCGAATTTTTGATAATTTTTGATTTTTTACCAAAGAGTCGAGACAATTTAATAAGTAAAGTATTTTCCAAAAGCACAAAAATAATGAAGCTAATTCCCATAAAAGAGAGGAAAAAATGTTGAATTTTAAGAAAATCGGATTTTTGAATTTTTTCGAATTTTTGATAATTTTTGATTTTTTACCAAAGAGTCGAGACAATTTAATAAGTAAAGTATTTTC